CCACCACGGCCCCTGTCCCTGCCCCCCGAGCTGTTCGGGGCCGGATCCCGGCAGCGGTCTCCCCACAGCGACAGGTAACGCGGTGCGGGGTTAGGGATTCCCCGGGAGAGAGGACCGAGAGAAGAGAGTTCCCCATCCCGTCTCCCCCGCGCGGACTCCCGAGCCTGCAGGTCAAGGGTGGGGGCTGTCACTTTATTCACTCCGCGCCTCTTCTTTCCCATAAGGATGCGCCCCAACCCGCTTCCCTTTTCTCTGGGCTTGGTTTTTTACAGTTTTTATTTATTCGTGGAGCCTCTCGGCTCCTGGGGTCCTTCTAACTCCGCCCGCGCCCTTAATTTAAATCGCTGTATACTGTATTTATCGGGGCCCCGGAGGGGAGGCCGCGAGAGCCGCGTCTGTGTATAAAAGCAGGAAATAGCCAAAGCTTTAATCTAGCCTAATTTATTTTCCCTTTATCCTCCCCTTTCCTCCCCCTAAAAAAAGCAAAACAAAAAAAAACAAAACAGAACAAAACTAACAAAAAAATTCGAGTGTTCATTTTTCGTTTCGTTTTATCCGAGCCGGTTACCGGCCTCGCAGAAGGGGTCTGCGCTCCCACTCACACCCGAATGGGAAGGGGCTTCTGCCCAGCTGCAGGCTCACGACCGTGCCACGGGGCCCTGCCCTGTTGGCCGTAACGAACGAAACTTGGAAAAGTTGAAGATATTTTTTAACCAGCTGTAGAAATAAGCCGTTCCCTGAGAACCTCCTGATCCCTTGCAGCTTTCCTTCGCTCCCTTTCTAGTCCCCCCCACACACACCTCACCTCCCCGGGGGTATGGGAAGCTGGGGGAGGCCAGGAGAGAAATTCCCCAAGTTTGGGGTGAGATGGGAACCATGTAAATATGTGAGATATGTACACATTGGCGGGGAAAAGAAACATTTTGTGCTTGGTTTTTATTTTTGGCTTCCTGGGTTGTCTTCCCTCCCCGTCCTCAAGGATTTTGTACACCCGACTAATCCGAAAAAGATATTTTAATATGATTTCTTGATTTCTGACCCATCTCTATTTATTTTCCGGATGTGTTTGGAGCTTCCCCTTTCTCCATTTCTTTCTGTTATGGTTTGAATTTAAATTTTGTTATTTTATTTTTTATTATTTTTTGGAACAATGTCTGGTGCATTCTCTTTGTATCTTTATTGCAAAAAATAATGTAGACTGGGAAGTTCCCTTTATATTTATGTTATAGTAAATATTTTATTACTCACATAAACATGTACCCCAGGGCTGTGTCCTGTCCTCTTTACTGCTAGGACTGGGTGGGTTTTCCAGTGAAGCCATGGGTCATCCTGCCTTACCTTCCACAAAATTCCAGCCTCCTTAAGAGAGATCTTGAAGGAAGAGGACCATGCCAACCAATCCTTCCAAGCCAGTATGAGGACTGCCTGTTACCTGGGCAACAGTTGGGCCCCTGCCTCGGTGCATCCACCTAGGGAAGGTGAGCCTCCCCCACATCCCCTTCCCATAGATTTTTCCCAGACCAGACCAAGGCCTAGTACAGTGAACCTCAAACACCCCACAGAACTTGGGCCGGCCATTCCTCAGGTACAATTAGACCGTTCTCATCCACTTGTCCTCCGCCACCAACCTAGTGCCTCTGTCCCCTGCCCAGTGATCCAACCCTGACTTTGGTTTCACTTTGCATCCCCTGTATGGGGTCCAGGCCACCTTCACCATTTGGGTCCTGGAGCAGCTAGATAACCTGTTTAGCTCCAGCATCCTATCCCAATTGACTCTCCACCTGTAAACTAGCAGTTCCCAAGCCCACCTAGATCCCCTGGACATTCTAATAGCTTTAGACAGGTCTGTTCAGTGGTCCTGCAGAACTGAAACAGCTTTGGAGGGGACCTTGCCTTTTTGCTTGGGCAAAGCCAGACCTGTTTCTCTGGTGGTGGTGGTGGGCGGGGGACTACCTGCCCCAGCTTCTCCTGGGAGAAGTGGGGGCACAAACACTGTGCCACCAGATACTTCGCCCCCTCAGGGTGGGCACCCAAGAACTTCCACCACTGCAAGTAATCTATATGCTTGCGGGATGGAGGACTCTATGGCTGTACTCCATGACCTGGTGCTGAGGTGCCGAGACAGTCTCCTCAAGCCTTCCACAGCAACATCCTCTCAGAGAGTCAGAGTAGCTGGGGACAGAGCTGGGTTTGGGTCCAAACACCAAAACCACTTGTGTCCCACTCAAAATCTTTTTTTTTTTTTTTTCTTTAAGACAGCTCTTCCTGTTTCCTCTGTAAATGTAAATCTTTTCCCTTCTCAGGAGAAATCACGTGAGGTCTCTTACTCTTCATGGAGCCAAAGCTTGAAAGCGCAATTGCTTGGCTGGGGAGAAAGTTGTGTCTCTGATGAAGGGATATCTGGGGCCCCTTGCCAGGGAAGCTGCCCAAGTCCAGGCCTGTGAAAAGACTTCGCTCTAGCCAACAGCATCAGGAATGTCCACCGAGGTATTCCCAGGCCCTCAAGGCAGCACTCCCTGGCCTGGCTGAGGCCTTGGGATGACTATGTCAGGCTAATAGTTCCTGGGGACTTTCTGACTTCTACTCCTCAGTCTTGGGGGAAATTGTGTACATGTACAAAGGCTGCTGCAATGTTCAAAAGTGTGGCTTCTGCTGCTCCTGTTTTTCCTTCCTTCATCCCGCCTAGTGAGTGAGTAGTCCTGTAATTGGCCCCATGGTCTAGCCGCTCCCCATACTGACAGGCCAGTGAGCCTCTTTGTCATTCTTACAGAGAAGGCTAGGAACTCACTAGCCAGCAGGGTGAAGGCACAGCAGGAGCCACTGGCCACCTCTCCTAGCCTCTTTCCTGCTCCTCTTGGTACAAAACTTTGAAACCATTCCACGTTCTCCTTACTCCTTTCTTTTTCTCTATTCCCGGATTTGCCTCAGCCTCAGGTCCTTGAAATGGAAGCAAGTGAAGCCTGGGGCTCCCTGGCCATCCCAGCCCAAAAGTCCATGTGGGGTTTGAGGTTGGGAAGGGCCACGGGAAGACAGGGCCTTTCACTGGCCTCTGCCTGCAGCTGACACCAATTGATTGATTGATTTCCTAATTGTCTGCTTAATCCTGTACAAGAGGGTGGGTTTATTATTTAAGCAAGTCAACTCAAAAACAGCAAAACAATGCAGCCTCCGAAGAACTAGCAGCAGCTGAGGGGTAGAACAAAAAGAAAGAGAATAAAAAGTGGGAAAGGGGATGGAAGAAAATCTTCCACTTTGCAAAGATTTTGCTTAATGAGACACCAGCCTAGAATGGCTACCCGTGATTAACCCTTGGGGGGCAGAAGACCCCAGGGCTTCTTCCCCAAGACACCAAGAAGGGACGATGGTAGGAACTTCAGCACCTTTGACTTTATATGGAGAAAAACCAGAGGGAGAAAAATAGTTTTCCCTGAACTCTCACTCTCTGGGTAGAATAGAGTTTAAGAAAGGCACAGTTTGCACTGGGCTCACCAGCAATTTCTCCATCCCATGTGTCTGTGTATCCACGTGCTCCTTCCTGAAAATCCCAGAGTAGTTCCATCAGAAGAAGCATACATCCCTAAGTGTCCACCTCTAAAGAAGCTGGAGCTTTCCCTAGCAAATTTGAAATTCCCTGACCCCATCTCCCTTTCTTTTTGTACTTGAATAGCACTATTCATTATTTCCTGAGTGATTCAATGGCCATGGGCTCTGGTAGTTACAGAGAACCTTGCTCTCCCCATGGAAATCTCTGCAGGTTGGTGTGAGAATTTGTGTGTATGCTGCTGTGTGAAAATCCATAGCTGATCCCAGAGGTGAGGTGGAAAAAATACACTACACTGCAAATTCTCTGAGCTGGAAAGAACATTTTCAGGGTGGGGTTTGACCATCACCAGAAGTAAGGAGGGTGACCACTGTGATCACCTTTGGTCATCCAGGTGAACCCAGAAGGTACCCTTCTCTGAGCCCAAGGACGTGGGTATTTTCCCACACCTCCTGCCACAGAAGGTCACACTAGTTTCTATGTTGCATGGCTCTCTTAGTCCTCAGACTTGACTGAGTGTCCACAGGACTAGCTGATCCCAACAGCTGCTGGCTACGGCTGTTTAGAGAACTCACCCTCTCTAGGAGGAAACTCCCAGCTGTGTGGGGACAGGTAACACCCCATCCTCCAAGCTCCCCTACCAGGACCAGGATGCCTCCTTTTCTTCGGATTTTCCCCAGCAGGGATGGAACTACATGAAGTAGATGGAGACCCATCTACACAGGGAGTGGAGCAAGAGAAGGTTGGTGTCCAGCCCAGCTGCTCCCTCTAAGCTTAGCCAGAAGGTTCTACCTGACCTCCAGTTTAGAGGCTGAGGCCGAGGCAGCTGGGGGAGCCATCAGTTCTGTCCCTGCCTGCTGTATATGAAAGCCCTGGAGTTAATGTTTGACCAGCCATTCAGGGTTCTCCTTTGCTCCCTCTGAGGACTCCACGTGGGAGGACTGCCCTCTATTGGTCCCCAAGCTGGGTTGTGGCAAGAGTCAGCAGAACTACCTTGAAGTTAAGCATGACCCTAAAATCAGCTTCACGTGGCTGTTCTGTGGGGTGTGCAGCTGGAGAGGCAAAGGAAGCAGTCCCGCTTCACGACGCACACATACACGTGCCTGCCCGCGGTCCTTTTCTCTTCAGCTACTACCCACCACTTTGCACAGCCACTCTGAGAAATCCATCTCACACTACTTCTCTCTATCACACCCTCTCCTGTCACTCCTCCTTCTCAGCTAGTTAAAAACCCAACCTAGGCCCTCACCAGCTTGCTCACACACATGCTGACACCCCCGTGATACACCCACACCACTGCTTTGGCCATTTCAGACCATCTTTTCGGTCTGTGGCATGGAGCTCTTAAGAGTCACCGGGTACCTGACACCTGGGATATTTGATTATGTGCTCACAACTGCCCCGTATAGCTTTTGACCAGGTCTCCTCAAGATTTCCAAGCACTTAACCCACAAACTGTTTTCCAAACACAACCCCCGCTTCATTGTCCCAGCTCCTCCTAGATCTCTTCCTGCTTCTTTCAGATAATTAAAGTTAGGCTGTGTGTTTGTATGTGTGTGTGATCTTATTTTTTAAACACACACCCCCACACATACATATGTGTGTATATATACAAACACACATAGCAATTAGATCTATCCATTCTACCATCCTCCTTTTCGTGCAGTAAAACCTCAGCTATGCACAGGCCCCCACATTGCCATGCAGTGGACCCCGTGTCACCTACTCATGGGCCCCTGATTCACACACACGTGCACATACACTCACGCACATATGCACACAGGTATGCACAGGGGCACTTTCATTCAGTTACACCCACTCCTAGCTCCCTGGTGTTTCCTCAAGGATATAACCCTCCTTCTGCTTCCCACCTCCTCCAGGGCATCTGATAGCTCTCTTCAAATGACCTATGGATCAAGAGTGTGCTGCTCCGCTCCCTGACTCACATCCAGCCCCTGCACACACATCAGTGGACACATCCTCCCGCTGAGCCTGACCAGGGTGGGTCTGGGTATTATTAGGCTGCAGAGACAGCACGGAGGCATATGGTCTCGTACACAAGAAATAATGTTCATGTTAAATCAGACCTCATGCATAATGCATGGTGCCTGATCTCACATTATTTTGGGTGTTCGTCAAAATCAGTGTTCTTTCTTGTGAGGGCTCCTGAAAAGAAGGGAAA